CATTGGGTTAGCTCTAGGGCTGAAAAGGGTCTCTGAGGCATCTAGTCCGATATCTACCCCTAAAAACCACATCCACTCACCCTGCCGGCCCAGCTGTCAGCCTCTTTTAGAAGCCGGGGAGCTCAGACAGACCTACACTTTCCCTTCAGCACTAGAATGAAGCCAGGTCCTAAAGAAGATCTTCAGGAGGGGAAAGAAATCGGGGTGGGGAGGACTCCGTACACCCTACACCCCACCCCCAGGGAACACCTCTAAGATTAATCTCAAGGTAGAAGGATCTTGGGTCTAAGGAGACCCCCGGTGTTCCTCTCCCACCAAAACTCAAGAAGCAAGGAACACAATAGAGGAAGGTCTCTAGAGGGACCTCTGACCCTGTCCACACCCAGAGCATCTCTCCAACCCCCAGGGTGGCTTGGTGAGGCGGCTGAGTCGCAGCTGTTCCATCTTTCTCCCATATTTCTCTGGGATCTCAGTAAACAAACCCCGGAGAGGTCCTTCTGCGTGAACCCTACCACTCCACGCCCCAATGAGAGAGACCAGGAGGGAAGAGGTTAGGTGATCAAAAGGAAGGGACAAAGACCGGAGGGGGCCAGACGGCTAGGAAGGAAAAGGGATCGCAGGCCGCCGCCGCCGCTGCCGCCGCCTCCCCCCCCCCACCTTTGTTAAGTTGCAGCTTAGGTCGTGGGGGCTTCTTCCACTCTAGCTTCGTTCTGACTGAACTCAGGCTTCAAGAGGGGGAGGAGGTGAATGTAAACCTCACCCTGCCGTCTTCCGTGTTACCCACCTAGCCTTCTAGTGGGAGGTGATGGGAAAGGGGTATCATGTGCCTATCACCCCAGCTTCTGGTGACCTGAGGTTCCGAGCCCAAACACCTGCAAATAATCGGGGCGGGGGCTTGGGTGAAAATCGGGGTAAGGACCAGGGGTCCTGGCAAAAGGGACAAGAAGGTACCTCGAGCGCAAGGACCCTTGGGCAGCTCCCACGGGCCACGTGGGGGCCAAGGCCGTATTTTCCGGTGTAAATACGCCGGTTTCACGGGCTGCCTCTCCAGCCGCAGCAGCGTGGCTAGGGCCGCTCCCTAGACAGCCCCCTCCCCCTAATAAGCACACACAAAAGCCCCCAGCCGCGCACAAAGACAAGTCGCCCGGGTGTGTGTGTTGCCCTTCCTCTCCCACGCAGGGGGACTTCCCCGGGGGCGAAGTGTCGGGACTGACAGATCGACACCCGAGCTCCCCGGCTCTGCTGCCGCCGCGCCGCACCGCGCCCCGTGTGCGTGGCTGCTCGGGACGTGGGGGGGAGCAGCCACGACGCCCCCGACGGCAGCGCCCTCCTAGTCAGCCGCCCGGCCCAAGCCCCCGGGCCCTCCAGAGCCCCCAGCCCTGCTCGTCGCCTGCACCTGCCGGGCTCCCCCTGCCCGTTCTGTGCCCCCCGCCCTGCCTGGAGCAGCCAGCCGGGCAGGAGCCCCCGGCCCTCCAGAGTCCCCCAGCCCTGCTCGTCGCCTGCACCTGCTGTGTGCCCCCCGCCCTGCCCGGAACCGTCAGCCCGGCTGGAGCCCCCAGGCCCTCCCGGAGCCCCCCGCCCCGCCAGGGCCCCCACCCACCTGGCCGCCGCGGACCTCTCTCTCAAGCTCTCGGTAACGGTTGTGCCACACCAGGTAGTGCAGCGGATATCTGCCCTCCGGCCCCTTCCTGGCGGCGGAGGCGATCATCCTGCCCTCCGCATGCCGGGGCCGCCTCTCCCGGCCCGGGATGGGGGGACGGGAACAGAGACTGGAAGCTGGGGGCGCGGGGCCGGCTGCAGAGCCTGCTCTGGAAGCCCGGCGACGGGCGGCTGCACGGGCATGTGCCTGGGGAGGCAAGCGGGCGGCGAGCGAGCGCCGGCGGAGGCGGGCGGAGGGGGGCACGGCGGTGGCGATGCGGGAGGCGGGGGAGCGGATTCCCAGCGTCCCCGGGAGGAGAGGCGAGGAGGAGGAGGAGAGGAGAAGGAGGAGGAGGAAAGGAGGAGGAGAAGGAGGAGGAAAAGATGAGGAGGAGGAGTGGAGGAGAGGTGGGGGGGGGAAGAAGCACCAGCCCTGGGTTACCAGCACTAGGCAGCGCTGTTCGAGTTCTTTGCCTCTCCTCCCACACCCCTGCACACAAAGGCAGCGCTACAAGGAGGGAGGAGGGGGGAGAAGGATCAGGCACCCGGAGGAGGAGGAGAAAGGAGGAGGCAAGCGGGGGGCCCGGCCCTGGTGGGCAGTGAAGGCATCCCAGCGGGCAGAGGAAAGAGCAGCCCCTCGCTTTGCCCAGGAACACACTTCCTCTTGGCATGGCCAGCGCAAATGCCAGCCCCTTCCTCACCCCCTCTCCCCAAAGCAGTTGGGGGCCCGGGAGCCCCCGTGTGTGGTAGGGATGGAGGGGGGCACCCTGGTGCTGGAGGCGTAGCCAGTCAGAACCAAGAGTCTGAGGTCTCGCTGCATCATGGGAGTTGTAGTCCTCACCCCCCCTCAACTCAGCTCAAGGGCTGGCAGGTGAAGGGGGGGGCAGAAGACATCCCTACCATGCCAACCTCTCCTCCCTTTCCCTTCCCTCCTGAAGCCTTGCCCTCAGAAGTGGGGATGGAGCTTTCAGGAAGACTATCCAGGATGGATAAACTAAGGTGGGGCCCCAGGACTGGAGCAATATTCCAGAACATCTTGGTATAAGATGGCGCTCCCAATGCCTTTGGGAGCAAACAATACATTCCTCCTGAGTGGAAGTAGAAGGTTTAGTAGACCACAAACCTGAATCTTTGTCAATTAGTTCTGAGCCTGCTGGGAGAGGTCCTGTGACCCATTGAGTCAGTCAGCCCTGGATTCAAATACTGCCTCTGACACGTGCTGAATGTGTGACCCTGGGCAAATCGCTTCACCCATCAATTCTGTAGGGCTAGGCAACTTTCTCAAAGTATACGTAGCAGAAAAGGGGCCAGCCTACTTTTGTGGAGGGAGTTTCTTCCCCTGGGAACCATCATCTATGAAATCACAGGTCCAACCCTTTTCTGTATGCCCTTCCCTGAACACTAAACTGAATACCATAGAAGTCATTATAATAGAGACCTTTAGGGACAATTTAGATCATTGATTTAGTACTGGAAAGGAATTTAAAGGTCAGAAGGTCCAAATCCTACATTTTACAAATGAGAGAACTGAGGTCCAAAGAGGTTGTGAATTTCCTAAAGTGGCAAAGCCAGTCAAATACAGAGGGTTGAGCAAATGAGAATTGGTCACGACTGAGCCTCTTGGGGGAGGGTGGTGGGTGGAGAAATTAGGGTTACTGGAATTTAGAGAAGAAACGGGGGCTGGAGTAGGCTGGGAATAAAGGGCTAATAGGCATGGATAGTTGGAGGTTCACCTCTCTCAGGTGTCTCAGTCAGCCAATCAGCAAGCAATTATTAAATGTCCACTGTGTGCTAGGCACTGTGCTTTAGTTAGCCTTCTCTCCTTTTAGATTGCAAACTCCTTGAGGGCAGGGACTCTGCCTATTTCTATCCTATTTCTTCTTCCCCCCGTGCCTAAAACTGCTTTTCGCGTAAGAAGCGTTCACATTTTGTCAACTGAATGGAATGGGATGAACAAATCAGTCCCCATTTCCAGCTTCTCATTCAGAGCAATGATGGTTTGACACTTGCTAGAAAATGACCGTCTCATTATCTCTGCCTTGCTGTTCCATACCCCAACCCCATGGCAAGCCCTGCACATCCCAGGGTGCCACACCGCCAGGGGGAGGGAAGGAGCAGTCAGCTGCACCATCCTTACTCCTCTGAAGAAGAGTTGGGGGACTTTGGTGCCCAGGTATGCTGCTCCCTACCTCCACCACAAGGGGTCACCAGAGGGTTATACCTGAACCTGGAGCCTAAGCTAGGGGAAGGGGTGGGGGAGGGGAAAAGCAAGGGAGGGTGGTCCTGTCCTTCAAGTATGGCTGGGAGTAGAGGTGTTGCTAAGTACTTCCTATGGTCAAGACGCAGATGAAAGACTGAAACCTGCTTCAAATCCACAGCTAATGGGGTGTGGGAATTTGCAGATGTCATCTGCTCCTCCATGCCTTCTCCCCAAATTACTTTGTGTTTACTCTGTATATTTTGTATCAGTGTATATATTATTTCCTTCCTGGTAGAATGTACATTCCATAAGGACAGGGACTGGTTTTGTCTTTATATCATCACTGGGCACAAAGCTGAGTACACAATAGGTGCTTAGTAAGTGATGCGTGTATATGTGTTTTCCCCCAAGAGATTATATATCCCTTGAGGGCAGGACCTGTTTTTGTCTTTTGCTTCACACAGTGTCTTCCACTAGTACATATTCAATAAATGGTTATTGAGGGGGCAGCTAAGTAGTGCAGTAAATAAAGCTCTGGCCTTGAAGTCAGGAGGACCTGAGTTCAAATCTACCCTCAGACTTTTAACACTTAACTAGCTGTGTGACCCTGGGCAAGTCACTTAACCCCGATCGCCTCGCCAACAAGCAAATAAATAAATAAATGAATGGTTATTGACTTAAATGAGCCCTCTTCCCCAAATTTCAGGACAAGGTTTGGGGGAGGGAGAGAACATAGTGGGATTGTGGGGTAGAGTGTTGGACTTGAAGTCAGGAAGACTGGGGTCCAAATCCCTGATTCTGACACTGTGTGACTACTCTCCCCAAGCCTCAGTTTCTTCATCTGTAAAATGGAGTTGGATTAGATGGTGTCTGAGAAACCTTCTAGCTTTAGATCCAAGATTCTGTGATTCTGCTGGCCTCCACTATCCCAGTTTGCTTAGGGAGTCAATTCATCTTGGTTCTTGGGATAGCCTCGTCAGCCCCCAGCCCTCCCCAGGAGACACAGTCCAATAGAGAGGCTTAGATTGAGTAGGGGGAGGCATGCCAGGCACCTGTCTGTTCTCCTTCATGCCTGCCAGCCCCAGGCTGCCACGTGCTCTTAAACTCACCCACACATAGCCCAAGAAACAAAGACAAACAGACCAAGCAGCTGAGAGTCGAGTAGACATTTAATAAATGAAATTCCATAGCTGAGAGAAGAGCTGAAGAGCAGAATCTCCAGCTCCAGTCCCACCCCCAGCCTTCATTCCACATGCATTCACTCACCATGAGGCTGGAAGACTACAGAGGAGGGGGTGGGGGTGGGGAGAGAGAGCCAATCTTGGCACCCTTAGCCTTGAATGCCACGGTGAAGAGAAGGCCCATCCTGGGGGGGAGGGGCCGGCACCTCACAGGCAGCCGTTGGCAGGTGGGCCTCCTCCAGGAGCCGTGGGAGCCAGCCAGGCACAGGCTAACTCAGGTGATAAACTGCCTGGCTCTCTCCTAACGACTGAGGGACCGCATTGGGGGAGGTGGCTGGCAGTTTTCTTTGTTTTTTAAGTGTGATTATAAATATCCTCAGTGGACACACACACTTTCAAACAAACTTGTCAATCCGGGTAGAAATAAAAGTCGAAGGAGGCAAGTCTCGCTGTATTTGGGGCGCCATGACTCATGGGCTGCTGGGGTCTCAAGGAGGGAGCTAGTCGGCCCACCCACGGGCCCCTGCCACAGATAGGCTGAACATCTCTGGCACCTCTCCCCATGTGAGTGAATCTCCTAATGCCAAGGAGAATCCCCTCTTCCTCCAGGCTCTAAACAATCCACTTGCAACCTTTTCACCGCTGGAATGGCTTCTAACACCTTCTCCTCCCAGCAGCTTTCCCAGCTCATGCCCACCTCCCCAGCGGCAGAGCCAAAAGCAGAGTGGCGGGCAGCAGAGAGCAGGGCATTTTGTGCAAACTGGCAGGCACAAATGAAGACACACGTACAATAATGCACACGTGCAGCCTGGGGCCACGGGTTCTGAGCTTCCTAAGGCTTCCCTCATGTAAAATTTCTGCTCGTGACCTGCAAAGAAAAACCATCCCAAGGAAATATGCTGGGTGTGTATATATGCATTTACACACCCCAGACACACACACATGGCCTTGAAACAGGCGAGGACTGCATGTACACTTTGCTCCTCCCCTCCAGAAACATGGATATGTGAGTACATGCCAAAATACAGGAAAGTACCCATATGAGTAGGCGGGTGTGTTTACACATACAGACATGTCTCCTCCTCCAGACTTCTTTAGAAGTGGGCTTGATTCTTAGCCATCAGGAGCTGTAGTTTAGGTGTGGCCATGCCTGGAGGCAGTGGGTGACCTCTCTGGCACCCTAGAAGTCAACGTTTTCATTCAGTTCAATACCAAAATAAGCACCTCAGAGGTCATGGAGTCTAACCCCCTTTATTTGACAGATAAGGAAATTGAGAAGGATTTGCTCAAGGTCACATAGCTAAAATATATAACAATAAGGCACAATATGGATAAAAATTACTCACTCCCTACCTCCCGGGTTAAATGAGTGCCTCGTGTGTGCTAGCTAGTTTGGGGTGGGGATACAAAGTTGGGCAAGTGAGTTCCTTTCTTCATGAAACTTCGTCTATATTCCTCACGTGGGTGTTCACCTGCCCTCCTCCCATTCCCTGGGAAATCTGGGGGTCTGGACTTCCTGCAGCAAGCTAAGATAATCTATGGAACTGGAAGGGACCCCAGGAAGAAAAGAAGCCCAATTTGTAGCCATAGGGCGTTGTCAGGCGCTCGGGGTCACACAGCCAGAAGGTGTCAGAAGGGGAGCTAGAGCCCACGGATGACGGCTCTCTATCCATCAAGATGGTATCGTTAGTCCCCATCCACGTCCCCCCCCCGCCCCGCCCCCAATCACACAGGTGTGTGGCTCACTGCAGGAACATGTGCCCCTATCCACACACATATATAGAACGTTCTCACCAACGCAGACACCAGAGTGTGGACGTGAGTAGATGTGTTCTACACATAGACAGCTCCGAGGAACATGGACTGTAGAAATCTTGGTCCATCCTTCCTTCCCTAAAGGAATGCCTGACACCCACGGCCTTGTCACCCCCACACAGAGGATGACTACGTTTCCCCCAACAATCTTTGGCATCCTCCCTTTGGTATGGAATGGCTTGCGAGGTCACCCCTACACTGGCCTATTTACACACACACAAAATTAAACCTTAGCGAGGCAGTTCCGCGGGCCCCCTCAATCCCTCACCTCCCATTTTTGCCCCATTTTCACCACCTGTCCCCAATGCTCCCCTTCTCCTTCCTCCTCCCGCTGCTGGGATAGGAGAAGGGAATGGGGACGCCAGGAACAGGAACTGTAGGAGTGACTCACCACCTCCTCCACCCTGTTCTCGCTTTGGGGGCAGGAAAGGGAAACTGAGGCAAGGGGCCAGGACCCGAGGCGAGCTGGCGACCGAGAACCCAGGCAAAGTCCTCCTCCGCTCAGTCCAGGATGGGAAGAGGCTGGGGAGGGGGAGGTTCCCAGGGCTGGGATCGGGGAGGCGGGGGGAGGTGGGGGGGCCGGGAAGAGCCCGGCCCTCCTGGCCCTTTAAAGCCCCCCCACCCCACCCCACCCCCAGTACCTCGAACCTCTTCCTGTGTTCCTTCCCATTTCCTCTCTCCAGCTGGGAGCGGGGCGTGTCCGGGCCCGGGCTGGGGGTCGGGAGGCGCGCGGGCCCCTCCCCCGGTGGGCCGGGCCTGCGTCGCTTCCTGCAGGAGCAGCTGAGAGCGAGCTGAGCAGCCTGCGGAGAGCCGGAGAGCCAGAGAGCCAGGGGCCGGGCCGGGCCGGGCCGAGGCGAGCCGAGCCGAGCCGGGCGGGCCGACCCGCGAAGCGGACCGAGGGGCGGCCGGAGAGGACGGGCCGGGGGGCGATCTGAGCGCCGCCGGCCGGGGCCCCGAGGGGGCGGACGCGCGGCGGGGAGCGGCCGCTGCCGCCGCCACCGCCGCGGCCGCCGCAGCCTCAGCAGCAGCAGCAGTGGCCGTGGCCGTGGCCGCGGGCGCCGCGAGAGCCCGGGCGGCAGCAGCCTCAGCCTCGGCGGCGGCGGCGGCATCGGGGACCCCCTGCCTGCAGCCGACGCCCCCGCCCGGGCCCCCAGCAGCCCCGCGCGCCCCCCACGCTGGCCCAGAGGGCTGCGGCCGCCTCGCCGCTGAGGATGTCCCGGAAGGGGCCGCGGGCCGAGGTGTGTGCGGACTGCAGCGCCCCGGGTAAGGCCCGGGCCGGGGGCGGGCACCGGGGACCGGGGACGGGCCACTGGGCCCCGGGGGGAGGAGGCCGAGACGGCAGCGCCCCGAAGGCCGGGGGCGGGACGGGACCCGAGCCGGGATGCGCCGCGCCCCCCCCCAATCCGGTCGGTAGAACCCCCCCCTTCCATCTCCGCCTCGCAGCGGGCGGGCGGGAGGCTGGGGGCTGCGGCCTCGGCAGCCACTGCAGAGCCAGGTGTCCTTGGGAGGGGCAAGGGTGTGCACGGGGGCCCGAGCTCCGAAGGGAGGGGGGAGCCCGCAGACCGGGCGCATCGTGCGGCGGCTGGGCTGCTAGTCGTGCCCAGTTCGGTCATGGGTCATCTTGTCCCCTTGGCACCCCCACCCCTCAGGCCACCAGGGTCCGTGCTTCAGCAAGGACATTTCCCGGTGCCTTCTTCCTTCGGCAGTCTGGGGAAACCAGCCCCAGTGAGCAGCTTTGCTAACCTCTCCTTTCCCCAATCCCCCCCAGACGGAGTATAAATGAGGGGAGCCAGCCGCCCCTCCCCAGCTCATAGGCGGCAGAAGGGCTGTGGGGGAAGCGAGAAGGATTTTTCCTTAGGGGGGGTGGAAGCGTGTGTTCTTAGTTTGTGTCATGGAGTCTCGGCTGCCTCCTTCTGTCTTACACCTGCTGCTCACACGTTCCCCGATTACTGTAGCTGCAGAGGGCATCTGTGGGCATAGGGGGTGGGCAGGTGTCTCCTGCCCTCACCTTGCTCAGAGATGCACACACTCCAGCTCTCAATCCACTGGCCTGGATATTTTTCACAAAAGGTGCTCAGAAGGCAAAGGCTACCCAGGAATGCTTGTCTTTAGGCATTCTGGCGTGCCCCAGGCCTGGTAAGGCTGTTCTTCTGGGGAAGTTAGAGCTGTATGAGGGGCTGGGGTCAGGCCCTAGATCCCAGTTAATTCTTCAGGAGGTGGTGACTGATTCCTAGGCCTCTCAAGGTCTTAGGGGCTCTCAGACCTACTCTGTCAGGCCAAATGGAAGCCTGAGACACAGTTCCTCAACCCCATAAACAAAGCCTGCTGGGTGGGGGAGGATGGGCAGGCCTGGGGCTGCTGGGGCCTGGGTCTTGAGATGTGGTTATCCCAGGGAAGTGGGAAATCCCAGTGCCAGTGGTATCAGGCAGGGAGCCCAGGACAGACCCTAGGCCATGGGTGCCCAGAGTCTGTGGATGAATCCAGGGCAAGCAAGTAGGGGGAGCATGTTACTGTATAGGGACGCTGGACTCAAATCCTGCCTCAGCCACTTATTCTGTGGGTCCACCGGCCCCTTACCCTCTCTGGAAAATGAAGGAATTGGTCTTGGATAGTTGCTGAGGTCCCTTCCAGCTTTAGCTCAATGCCATGGAAACCTGGGATCTGAGGGTCAGCTGCCTCTGCTACCATGTTGGCTGGTGTTTCCCCTTCTCCCCAGAGGCGTGGAGTTCCATTCCACGTGGGAGCTCCCCACCTCTACCTGCTTTGGCCCCAGTGAGGAAATGAGGGGACAGAGATCAGAGGAGCTGTTGCCTTCTGGTGTGGAGGGCGTAGTTCAGGAGGCAGAAGGGGCCCTTCGGATCTGAGCAGCCTGTTGGCGTAGGGGTTAGAGAAGTCCTGATGGTCATAGGTAACCTCTCTGGGCCTCAGTTCCTTTATCCGTAAAATGAGGGAAAGTGACCTAGATGACCCAGAGACCCCTGTGATTCCTCAGCCTTGTGCCACCCCCCCCTCCTATTGCCACTTAGGTTCTGGGTTGCAGATTCCTCTGGGAAGTTTCCAGAGAACCCCAGAAGGCATGTTTTAAACTCTTTGGGCAGCCCCAGTGTGCCCTCTCCAAGTGGGCAGAAAGGATCTGGGAGGGGCTTGTCTAGGTGCTTGCCCCCTCTTCACTTCTCCAGTGTTGCTCTGTCAGCTCCAATTGTCATTTCAAGTATGACAGGGATGAGGGACATCAGGACAAGCTTTCTAGTGTCCTGTGAGTACCCAGTCTAGGGATAGAGGAAGTTGTTGGTGGTATCTCTGTGGTTGCCCAGCTTTGTGACCCTCTGGTGACCCCATTAGTGTCAGAGGGTTAGTCTCTTTGTTGAATGAGATATCCCCAAGTTGGCATGGGACTATGCCCTCAGGGCCCCTCTTCTGCCCTGCTCATCTCTTCTGGAGAGGCAGCCTGGCATAGTTAATAGAGGCCTGGGTTTAGAGTCTGGAAAAAAGCTTTGAATTCTGGCTTCGGCACTAACTAGCTCTGACCCTGGTCACGTCAATCTCTTGGAACCTCAATTCCTTCTCTATTAAGTCGTGCTGTTGATAGCCGTAGTCCCTACTCGCTGGGCTGTTAGGTTCAAGTGAGATAATCACCAGGCATTAATTAATCACCTGCTATGTGATCTAGCTGCTGGGAATATAAAGACCAAAAAAAAAAAAAAAACCAACCCAAACCCCAAAACCCTGAAACAATCCTTGCCTTCAAGGAACCTATATTCTATAAGGAAATCATATAAATATTTACAAATTAATTTCAGAAAGGAGTCACTAGCAACTGGAGAAATTTCCTTTTCTCCATAGGAAGGACCCTATAGAGAAAGTAGTATGACATGTTAGCAGAGCTCTGAAGAAAGTTAAGGAAATGAAAGACACCTCGAGATAAGGAGAGAGTGCATTCCAGGCATGAGGGACCCTCTGTTCAAAGACTTGGAAACTGGCATCGGTACGGACAGATGCCTAGAAAGAGCTCTCATGGGTTGTGCTTAACATCCTACTCCAAGCAGAAGAGAGGTGGCCAAGACAGGGGTGGAAGTGCCAGGGCTCCTCATCGGTGGCTGCGTCAGACCCCTGATGACCCAATGAACACAAACTACCTGAGCTGTTCCAGGCAAAGTAGTCTAGTTGGAACCCTGGACCCGGGGGAAGCCCCATCCCTGCCACAGATGCACAATGTGGCTGCCCTCAAATAAGACCCCTCTAGGATCCAGGCTCTTTTCTGGAAGGTGGGATTAGGGATTTGGAGTCAGAAGGCATCCCAGCTCTGCTAGGTGCCCTCCGGTAAGTCAGTCACTTACAAAAGGAAGGATTGGATGTGAGATGCTGTCTGTTGTTCATCCTAACTTTCTGTCCTCTGATCTCTGAGCCCAGTTCTTTGGTTCTCTGTTCCTGGCATGAGTGGGGCATTATTGTTTTATAGAGCTAGAAGGGGCCTCGAAGGCCATCTTATCTAATCCCCTCATTTCACAGATGAGGAAACTGAAGCCCAGAGAGAGTCAGTGCTCAAGGTCACTCAGGTAGTAAGCTTCATTCATTCTCCTTTCTTGACTCTCTGGGTCACCCACTAGGCGCTGGAATGTTTAGCTCATGTCTTCGATCCCCACTTCCCATGGCCTTGGGTACTCTTAGTATAGTGTTTGGGGACTTTTATTTGGAAAGTGGAAAAAGAATGCTGACTTGGAGGCATTTGATCGTGATGAAAGTGGTGGTGGTGGTGGTGGTGATGGTGATGATCCCTAACATTTAATTAGCACCTACTATGTACTGTGCTAAGTGCTTTACAATTATTATTAACTCATCAGATCCTCAGACAACTCAGGGTGGTAGGTGCTATTATTATCCTCATTTTACAGTTGGGTAAACTGAGGCAAATATGTGAAATGACCTGCCTGGTCATTTCAGGTGAAGCTGTATTTGAACTCATGTCTTCCTGACTCCAGGCCCAGCAGTCTATCCACTGTACCACCAAAGATCCCAATGGATAGGTTCACATATCAGCTCTTACTTACTAGCTTTGTGACTTCACTCCTCTCAGCCTCAGTTTGCTCCCCTCTACAATGAGGGGGTTAGACCAGATGATCTAGGTCTCGGATCCTATGAATAGTGAATTGTGGTATCTGGTTATTTGTTAACACTTGTGTTTTCACACTTCCCAACCTCATTCCATCTCAGTGACTGCCCCAACAGACAGAGGGGGTTACAATAAAGTCACTGCCCTTCTGTACTTTGGGGCACCAGTGGTTGCTCACCTTGAGCGTGCCACGGGTGAAGGAGCTTTGATGGAGGAAAGAAGAAATGGTTTTGTGAGGCTGAGGTACAGCCGGGGTATCACTGGCATGTGTGGCAGGAAGTGAAGCCCATCTTTGTCATTGCTGGTAGGGCCATGGCCTATGCCTTGGCAGTCCCAGATCAGTCCTGATGTGTGAGAGGTCCACATGGTCCACACGGTAGCTTATGGGGAAGAAGGAAGGGGCTTTGGGAAAATGGAAAGAGCTCTGGATTTGGAGTTTAAGGGCCCAAGTTCCTTGCTCTTTCGACTGTGTGTGTGACCTTAGACAAATCACTTTGCCTTTGGGAGCCTCAGTTTTCTTGTCTGTAAAATGGAGATTAAAATACCTGTATTACCAACCTCACAGAGTGACAGACATA